GCTGCGGGGGATGGTGCGCCGGCTTGTGCTGCAGGGGTGGTTGACGAGGCTGAGGAGGTTGTTGTCGGGGCACAAGGCGTGGAGGTCGAGGAGCCAACCCCCTCGTGCCGTATCTCCTCTTCTTCGGTGCAGCAGCAACAGCTCCACCGTCTCCGGCCTGCAGAGAGGGAAAGAAAGTTAACATGACTGAAGTTTACAAAGCACTTGGTTGTGCTGTGAAAAACAAGAATGGCTAATTTGTTAACATAACGTACCTGTTGTTCAGCAGCTGCAGCAGGCGCAGCTTTGGCTTTGGCTTTCGCAGGAGTTGGGTGAAGCCTGGCATACATAGCTTTACACCTCTGTCCTAAGTACCCCTCCAAACCGTTGACATAGCTTGTTATCGCTGACTCATCGAAAACTTGCACTTGGTTCCCCTCAGCATCCGTCCGGAGAAAGGACCGCTTCCAAGTCTTGTATTCCTCTGGAACAAAATAAACATAATTAAGCAAGGCAGCACAAGATTAAGGGGAAAGGAATCGTTTCCAGTAATAGTATCAGACTCACTTGTAGCGCATTTCAGGAAGTCTGGCAAGACTTCCTTGAAAACCTTTATATTTTCCTTGCTCTTTTCTCCTTGGAGTCTGCACCGCAGAACGGAGGCCTGCTCCTCTCCAAAGACTCCTATGAGCAAGTTATTACACCATTCAGAGTCTTTGACGGATGATTTCATTTTCTCTACATAGAGAGCCTTGCACTTGACAGAGGCAAGGTGTAATGGAACCTGCAGCCAGAAAATTATGATTGATAAACTGTATAATAAAAGAAGTAATTTGCAAAGCATTCATAGAAGTAGTCTTACCATAATATCACCCTCTCCCCCAACCCCGCTTGCAACTGATGGCGGGCCACTGGCACTGGCTGTAAAAGAGACGATAAAATAATGAACATCAGTTCAGTTGTGTCGAGTCAATCACACTGATATGTAAACAAATACCAAGAAGCAATAACTGTTGAATCTTACCTAAAATGCAAACAAGCACTGATGACATCAGTTGTTTGATGCTCTGTATCTTACTGTTGTTTATATTAACATCAAATGAAAAAAATTCCAACAACAAAATTGCTTCCTGATATTGTTAACCACCACTGTCAGTGCACAGTATTGAATTCAAAATGAGTATTCTGTAGTCGTAACCAAGCTATCTGAACCGTTTCGTGGTGCACTGAGTGCACAAATGACCAGAACTGAAGTCCTCGAGGCTACTAAATGTCAATGGCACTTAGATTGATAAAACCGGTTAAATACACCTAAATGGTGAAGGCTTTGCCTGTTATCACAACAGTATATCACAGATTTAAATGAAATTGAAAGTGTTCTGAAGGTACAAGGTATGACTAGAATACTCTGTCAGAATTCACTACATGCCACTTATTAAAATGGAATTGGTAGGACAACCGTTTTGATTGCAAGTCCCTAATTGTCATAT